TTTGGTATTTGACCACCTAAAGAGGTGAGAATTTGTCCGGAAATTTTGCCGATTTCACCTACAAAGGGGTTTTTTGATTCGGGGAATCCGAAGTTGACGTCTGATTTTAGTTGGTCCCGCCACGAAAATATGGAAAACCGCTATTTTCTTCAAAAAATGGCCATTTTTGGCCAAAAATAGGCCAAAAATGGCAATTTTTGACGCGATATGAGGAAACTAATTGCAGATTCGGAATCAGCGCATCGAAATACCCCTAAAAACACAATTTGCGACAAATCTCAAACATTTTGATTTTTTGCCATTTTCAGACCATAGGGGGGACCACATGGTTTTCCGAAAAAAATCGATTTTTTGAAAATGTGGAGGAGTATTACGCAAAATGTGTTTTTAGGGGTATTTCGATGCGCTGATTCCGAATCTGCAATTAGTTTCTTCATATCGCGTCAAAAATTGCCATTTTTGGGTCATTTTGGACCAAAAAAACCGGTATTTTTGAAGAAAATACCGGTTTTTCGTCTTTTCGTGTCGGGACCAGCTGAAATCTGACGTCAAATTCGGATTCCCCGCATCAAAAAACCCTAAATAGGTGAAAGTGGCAAAATTTCGGAACCTCGATTTTCCTCAAACCAGCTTATATTCGCTTAATCCCACACAAAATCTGCTCAAAACCTCACAAAACCAGCTCAAAACCACTTAATCCCGCTAGAAAACAGCTCAAATCCATCAATTCCAGTGAAAACCAGCTCAAATCCATCATATTCTCGCTTAAAAACAGCTCAAAACCACTTAAACCGGCTCAAATCCAGCTCATTCCGGCTAAAATCCATCTTAATCCGGCATAAAATCTGCTCAAACCCATCTTAATCGAGCCCGAATCCACATATTCCCACTCAACTGCTCATCAAATTTACTTAATATGAATCAAATCCAGCTTACTCAAACTTAATCCTACTTAAACTCAGATCAAATTCGCTTAATCCAGCACAAAAACAGCTCAAAACCACTTAAACCGGCTCAAATCCAGCTCATTCCGGCTAAAATCCATCTTAATCCGGCATAAAATCTGCTCAAAGCCATCTTAATCGAGCCCGAATCCACATATTCCCACTCAACTGCTCATCAAATTTACTTAATATGAATAAAATCCAGCTTACTCAAACTTAATCCTACTTAAACTCAGATCAAATTCGCTTAATCCAGCACAAAACCAGCTCAAAACCACTTAATCCGGATCAAATCGACTTAATCCCGCTGAAAACCAGCTAAATTCTGCTTATTCCCACTCAAAATCAGCTAATATCCGCTTAATTCCAGTGAAAACCAGCTCAAATCCGCTTTATCTCGCTGAAAACCAGCTCAAATCCACTTAATCCCACTGAAAACCAGCTCAAATCCACTTAATCCCGCTGAAAACCAGCTCAAATCTGCTTAATCCCACTGAAAACCTGCCCAAACCCGCTAAATCCCACTCAAAACCAGCTCAAATCCGCTTAATTCCAGTGAAAACCAGCTGAATCCGTCATAATCTCGCTTAAAAACGGCTCAAATCCGCTTAATCCCACTCAAAATCAGCTCAAATCCGCTTAATCCTGCTGAAAACCAGCTCAAATCCGCTTTATCTCACTCAGTTTCTCATGAAATCCAGTTAATATGAATCAGGTGCAGCTCAATTCAGCATCAAACCATCTTAATCTGCTTTTAAATCTCATCAAATCGACGTAATATGAATAAAATATAGCTTAATCCACCTTAATCCCTTCGAAACTAGCTCAAATCCATCATAATCTCGCTTAAAAACAGCTCAAATCTGCTTAATCCCACTGAGAACCAGCTCAAATCGATCTCAATCCAGTCGAAACACCTTAATCTAGCACAAAATCAGCTCAAAACCGCGTAATCCGGCTTAAATCCATCTTATTCGCGCTTAAAAACAGCTCAAACCCACTTAATCCCGCTGAAAACCAGCTCAAATCCGCTTAATCCCACTGAAAACCAGCTCAAATCCGCTTAATCCCGCTGAGAACCAGCTTAAATCGATCTCAATCCAGTCGAAACACCTTAATCTACCACAAAATCAGCTCAAAACCGCGTAATCCGGCTTAAATTCATCTTAATCTCGCTTAAAAACAGCTCAAATCCGCTTAATCTCACTCAACTTCTCATGAAATCCACTTAATATGAATCAATTACAGCTCAATCCAGCTCAAAACCATCTTAAACCAGCTCAAAACCATCTTAATCTGCTTCTAAATTTCATCAAATCTGCGTCATATGAATAAAATGTAGCTTAAATCCACTCAAAATCAGCTCAAATCCGCTTAATTGGGCTCAAAAAATAGTTTTTAAAGTATTCTAGAGCATTCTAGAATAATTTACCACACAAAATTCTGAAAAAGTTGATTGTGAGCACATCGGTATCGGTCTCGGTAAGGCATTTTCTGAGAAAGCCCAAAAATGCCATATTTTGTTATAAAAAATTGCCATATTTTGTTTTTTATACGCTATAGAGCATTCTAAAACATTCTAGAATACATTTTCAGACATTAGTACAAAAAAATTTGAAAAAATGTACAAAAATTAGAAAAAGTTGATTGTGAACACGTCGGTCTCGGTCTCGGTCTCGGTCGCGCCGTCGGTCTCGGTCTCGGTCGTTGATTGTGAACACGTCGGTCCGTCGGTCTCGGTCTCGGTCTCGGACTCGGTCTCGGTCTCGGTCTCGGTCTCGCTATTGTGAACACCGGGTGAGAGTGTACCGGAGAATTCTCCTCCAGACATGCCTCATCGACTTTCCCATTCTCATTTGTATTGGAAGTATAAGGCCGGTAAGACACATTCTTTACTCGAGAATCTTGGACTATGCGCGGGATTTGGCGAGTCCGGGATAAGCTTGTAGTAAAAAGGCAAATGGCGCGAAAATCCCTAAATGGCGATTCTTAGATTACACACTGCGACAATTTTCTCGGTAAAACTTTCTGGAAAACCCCTGGAGCTTTCTGGAAAAACTTCTGAAAATGTGGTGTGTTTTCATATAGGTCCTGCTTTTCAATACCTGGTTGGAGATATGTTCGGGAATCCCGAAAGTTTTTTCTATCCGATCATACCAAATCAAGATTCCTGATTTTTCGACTTGTATTACATATCTCAGGTATTATCAAGACTTTTCAGACGTACATACTGCAAGACGGATGGAATTTATTGATCCCAACGGGCCCCCTGAGGCACCTGGATCTGCCTTGGGCGCATATTCTGATGATGTCCTACTTTTCCTCATATATTTTTGCCATCATTGCCAATTGTGTACCTTTCATTTACCGCTATTTGCTTATATGCAGGTGAGCGGGCTGATATTATGGGGAACCGCTCTTCGGATTTTGGGTAATGAATTGTAGTTTTTAAAATAGGATTCATCGCATTCAAAGTTCTTCATATATATAATCAACTACAGTCAAGAATCATGCCCCAGGCATAATCCAGTCTAGGTCTAACCAAAGCATAAAATCCATTACCCAAAATCCCAAAAAGCACCCCAAATTTTTCTTCCAGGCTCAAGAAAATCTCGGCCTTGCAATACTTCCGGATGCTCCTGACTTGCGCATTGTTCCTTTCAATTTATATCTGTGGACTTGTGTGGTCTACTTACCCTAAGGATATATCGGCTGTGGTGAATTCGACGGCGGTCGTCCAATTTCTAGGACTTGAGATTAGTCATCCGTCTGAGTTTAAAGTTGCGCTCATGATGAGAACGGTACGTAGAAACATATGCAACTTTTTATGAATTTTTGCGAAATGTATTACCGAAAAATTTGGTTAAAAATTGTTGTAAAATAAATACAAGAATTTTTTTTCAGGATTCTCTGTCTTGGGGCATTACCGCTATGTATTGTGTAAGCCTTTTTATTCGTGACTTATCATTTGTGACAGCATTTTTTTGATCATTGATCGATGAATCATATTTATTCTAGATGGCAATGGAAATTGCGTCGTACGCAATAATCGTCATATGCGGACTGGAAATCAAAAAATTTGTCAAGAAAGCGACTAGCGCAGGTCAGCATAGCCGACGCACTATTGAAGTGAATCGTCAGCTTAGCTTAGTGTTGTTTTTGCAGGTAAGTTGTGACATAAGAATTTGGAACAGAATATCGATTGGTAGCAGTTTATCCAGGACCAAGATTCCTGATTTGGACAGATCAAGTAAAAATATTTTGAGAAAGGGATATATCTACCTGACAGTATGAATGTCCGTTGAATGTCAGTTGGAAACTTTTCACGCTGCACTCGGATTTGGGCGAGTGATACGTCAATCGCTTCGTCGCGACGAGAGAAGACGTTTGGTACCGGTTTCAAGGGCGGCACGGCCCCCTGTGACCGTAATAATAATCCGAATTTGATATCAGATTTCATGATTCATTCTTGCGAGACCTCTCGTGAGGTTCTCCCGGCATTTATTTTTGCACCAGTTATTTAAAAAAATGAGCAAAATCTTAACAAATCCATATTTAAAAATGGTATAAATAAAAAATGTGTTCCTTAAAAACCTTTGGCCCAAAACAAAAACGATGCCCCCGCATGGGATTGATCCATGGACCTTTGGTTCGCTGTAAACGGTTTACAAGACCAACGCTCTACCACTGAGCTACAAGGGCGCATGTGGGCAGTTCCCTTCAATTCCGTTATCAATATTGATGTTTTTGGGTAAGCAATAATTTTAGCACATTTTTCTTTAAAACTTTTAACTGAAGTTACTATGCTTCACGAAGTATTGGGTCATATCTTTAGAAACTTCGTTTTCGGAAAACTCAAACCATGTGGTACCCCCTATGGTCTGAAAATGGTAAAAATCAAATTTTTTTAGATTTTCAGCAAAATTGAGTGAACTTGAAATTGACTGAATTTTTTGGCCTAACCTAACTAGAAAATTTTAATAAATCCATATTAAAAAAATGGTATAAATAAAAAATGTGTTTCTTAAAATCCTTTGGCCCAAAACAAAAAAAAGATGCCCCCGCAAGGGATTGATCCTTGGACCTTTGCTTGTCTGTAATCGGTTTACGAGAGCAACGCTCTACCACTGAGCTACAAGGGCGCATGTGTGCAGTTCCCTTCAGTTCTGTTATAAATATTGATGTTTTTGGGTAAGCAATAATTTTAGCACATTTTTCTTTAAAATTTGGCAGATTTTGGACCTCTTTAACTTTTGAATCTACAAACACAATTTGTTTGTGCAAATTGGGACATGTACAATTTTCGGATATTACTCTGGACAGGAGTAAAATTGCGACGATTTACGATAAACTAATTTTTCGACAGAGTTCTCGGGGCAACCGGTGACAAGTATTTCAGTTCAAAGTTCCAGAACTACGAAATGATTCAGGAATTTATCGGTTTTAGTCCTGGAACTCTTGCCCCTCCCCAATACTACGTCTAAAATCCGAACCAAGTCATAGTTGAACTCGATATGTCTTTATTTTTCACACAATACTAACACAATCTTGTTGTTATAACGAAGCCGAGTCTCCGTTTTTTGTCCTTAGTTTCATTTTGAGAGCAGCTTCTGAGATACATATAGTGAGAAATAACAATAACCCAATGTTGTCAATTCATCACCTTAGGCTTGTCCAAGCCAGAGTATTATTTGTTCTGTCTTTATTTTCCACATTATTTTTCATATCAGTACAAAATGTATGAATAATAATTACACAACATCTATGTAACCGATTGAGATTATCGACAACAGCAGTTGAATTCATTCTAATAACCTTGATCCTGTATTCGTTCTAAACTGGTTTCAGAATCATTTCGTGGAGTTGAATAATAAAACTGATGCCGAGTCTCCTGCTTTTTATCCTCAGTTTTATTTTGCGGCAAGAGTAGCCGCTGAGCCAAGCTAGTCGTAATTTTGCTCAGGGTCCTGGAATTAAGCTCATCGATTTGCGAACTTTGCAACTTGGACCAATACTCGGCAGTGATGTTTCCGGTGAGAAAATCTTGCAAATTACTCAGCGAATATTTCTGGCTTAGGATTAGTCGGTGGATCAGAGGAATCTCGTAGCAGAGCATTAAATGTCTTTCGCAGCTGTCACGAAGAATGGAAACATCGAAGCGGTCGGCCAGCTCCAGCAATGGCACGACGTTCACCGGATTGGGCTGAAAAGTGGAGAGATTATACATTGAAGCAGAGATAATTTTTATGTTCGAACACTTTCTTCATACGAGACGGTTGAGATATTCCCGTGTGTATATCTTATTATTAATAAGGTATTTTGCCGTGTTTAATAAGTTATTAAACAAGGCATAATACGTTCTCTACTCATATGTCATAGCATTTCACGAAACGGTTTGCAAAGTGATTGCCAGATACAATCAACCCTGATTTATGTTCCACCCCAAGGGAAGGACCTCACGGTACAACTTAAGTAGGTAATACAAAATTGCTTCGCGGGGACCGACTTCAGGGTGCAACTTAAGTCAGGGTTGATTGTATCTGACAATCACATCTGCAGCTTACCCTGACCTATGTTGCACCTCAAGGGGAAGACCTCAGTGTAGTATTCGCCTTTGCCCTTTTCTTATCATTACTAAGCCAATCCTTAGAAAGTCCAGACGAATCTCTACCAAACCGTATATTGTGCTCAGTACACTAAGCCACAAATTGCGCCAAAATGCGTTATTTCAAAATTCTGGTCAATTTCCTATACAAAATTTGGTCAAAAACGACCATTTTCGTTACTTTTCTCATCAAAACTAGCCTCAAATACAGACTCTCTGCAGAATTTTGGAAAGATAGGCTTAATTTGGGTAAAATTTGAGAACCTAAATTTTTGACCGATTTTAGAAATGCCTATTTGTTGCCAAAAATTGACTTTAAATTGATTTTACTATAAAATTTCCATTTTTCGGTATTTTCGCCACTTTTTTGTCTGATTTCTGAAAAATCATATTCGGATTCTACGTGGAAAATTGGGTATATATATACAATACCAAATCCCAATTCTACTTTGAGGAATCTTTTATAATACGCGGCCTATGTCCGTCTGTACGTCACAAAATATGGAGGTGCATTCAGACTCCGCTGACAAAGCCAGGCACCCCCCAAATATTTAGGCCCACAAATCCCCCCTTCGAGCGGCCGAAGGCCGCGAGGCTCCGCTGACAAATCCACGACAACGTAATTAAATAAATTTTTTGAAATATTAACCTTGTTTGCCAAAAATTGCCACCAATTACTTTTCCTTTTCCTTTCTTTCTTCTCCTCTCGTCCACGCCACCGAAAAATTTCCTTTGGTCCCCCCTTTTGATTTTTTCTCCCTTCCAAAATCTGAACCCCGGGTAATTACCCTATTTACCCATATGACCGCAGGGCCCTGGCTGCTCTACTCCCGAACAACCCAATCTGACCGCTGATGGCGGTGCGCGAAGCGACGCTGATGCGCGCTACCCGCTTCCTAGCTGTGAAGTCGGCGCGAAGCGGCGACGTAACAGCTAGTTTAGCTTGGGAGAGCCGCGAAGCTCTGTCATTCTCGCTCCGTCTCAGCTGGTCTTTACAATACCTCCTCACAATTATCTTAGCAAGCAAACCCAATTTCAAATTAGCGCCAAAATATAATTGCATGCCAAAGGGGTAAAAAGGGGTCGCTGGTCTCCTCTAGAGATTGGTAGAAAATTTCGTGTTCAAACCATTTGGACAGACACAAATAATCACTGGAATGCTCTTTGGTGTGTCAGTAAAAATAAGGCTTGTATAAGCCATTTTGGGCTAATTGACCGGATAACTGATCTTTGTAATCTCCTGTTATGTTTTTCACCGATGCAAACACAATTGCAGGCAATTGTTTGTTTCGCTTCCAGGAGTCCTGAGTCCGATTGCGATTCCAAGGAGATTCTAGAAACAGTCTAAATACAACAAATCGTTCTTATAATCGGAAAAATCCAGTTTGAACAATTCGCTTCAAAACAAAAATTTGGACATGCCAACTTTTTTAACATTCGAGAAAAAAAGGTTAGCCGCGGCTCGTTTCAATCGGATCTTTCTTTGACATCATAAGTATCAGATTTTTTTTGACTAAAATTATGAATTTTGCTATTTTTATATTTTGTTTTTATGCCTTTATTCTTTCAACTCAACAACTAATTTCTGTATAATTCTATTTTTTCAACAAAGTAACACCGGGATGGTTCTTTGATGTGTCCAGTGTCAGTAAAAATAAGGCTTGTATAAGCCATTTTGGAGCAATTGACCTTCGTATCACCTTGCAATCGTTTGATTGTATTGTTATGTTTTTCACCGATGCAAGCGCAGACAATGCAGGCAATTGACATTTGTAATCTCCCGTTATATTTCACGGGATTTTTCATGTAAAAATTGAAGAACGTGATAAAATAAAAATTACTCGCTTTGAATTTAGCCTATCCCAAACAATTCTTATATAGTTTTGATTTGAAATAAACAACTGAAGTTTGTATCCAACATTGTTAAATGAGAACATTCGAATTATTATAAATTCAAAATCTCATATTTCTGATTTGAAAGAAAGATGAAAGAATAAAGGCGTATAAATATATATATAAAATAAATAAATATATGATTTTTTTGACATCTTTTTTGACAAATTTTTTTGAAGGCATAGTATGTGAGCAGATTTAGCTCATTAGAGTGCAAGTAGCAGCGTGGCGCAGTGGATTTTTATAATTGGAATTGATGAGCTCAAAACCAATTATAAAAAATTTTCAAAATCGGCCCGAAATGATCCCACCTGCATGACGACAGATTTACGCGGTGGGAGTTGTCGGGTGGCAGTTGTTACGGGCACATTATGTTATGAGCAAGTAGCAGCGTGGCGCAGTGGAAGCGTGCTGGGCCCATAGATCTATGGACCACCCAGAGGTCCCTCGATCGAAACGAGGCGCTGCTAACATTTTTTTCTCGAATGTTAAAAAAGTTGGCTTGTCCAAATATATTGGGCAACAAAGGGTTAAAGAAGAAAAGTGTATATTCCACCTATTTTGAAACACTGACAAATTTCCAACCTGCCAGCAATATTCTTGAATCGCTAATTTTTAAATATTTTAGCCAATGGCCAGAAATTTCTATAAAAATTCCTGCAAAAATTGTCATCGACATTCGATATTTGCGCAGACTGTCACCAAAACGGTCAATATTTTGCAACTCAACATTCTCGAAGTAAACAATTTCGCAACCAGCCCACTCTGAATCACTCTGTTATTATTATCGCTTTGCACTGTTTCTATTTTCCATAAAAGGTCACACTGTCGATTTCGCGGCGCTGGCAGAGGATCGCTGCCAGGATCGAGCACTTTCCAGTCCTTTCAGCAACCAGAAAACAAGTATATATAAATTTGCACTTCCATTCGGCCCGCAGCGGTAAACAACTCCCGAAAAGAGAGCCATGAGGAGCCAGCCCCCTTCCCCCCCCCCCAAACCCTGCCTGCCAATAAGGAAGTCATGTGCGAAATAGTGCAGAAGAGCAGTCAGAGATAAAAAGAAACGGCGCTTGTTTACCGCAAAAGCGCTGAAAACAACACTTTTCCCTTGCCGCTTTCTTCTTTTCCCTTTCTTTTTCGGCCATGCGATGAGTCCCAATGTCAAAAGGTGAGGGAGCCCAAAAGGGGGCTGGTCCCTCGGCGAGCAAGGGGGCAATATGTTGTTTTCGATATGTGTCGATTTCAATTATTGACTGGCACGAGACCTGCTTGCCTGCCCAAAAACACGGCCTATCAATTATTGTTTTCAGTTATACTCTCTTTTATTTGCGGATTTCATTTTTATTTGCTGTCCTTTTATTTTATGACAAAAGTTTTATTGAACTTGTATTCCGGGCCCTTTCTAGATTTATGGATTTTGTCCACTTTTTGAAGGTCCCTCAGGTTTTACCACCCCCTAAAGCGAACGTTCGCACCCCCGCAAGGAAACCAGTTTTTTGGCTCTAATCTACAGCCAATAATCTTTTCGTTCGCTTTGTCACCGATCTTTGTCACATTTTTTGGCCTTTGCCCAATCAATTTTTCATTGTTTTTGCTTTTGTTTTGGGCGAGGAATGCGTTCCTGGAATGCTCTCGAGGAGTAAG